CTTTTACTGTCCTTTATGGTACTGTTGTTGCTTTGATTTTTGACTCTGTTGACATGACAAGTTAGACGCCTGAAGTAAGATTAATTCTTTGCTGAATTAAGTCGAATAACAACGGAAAGGGTGAAGATTAGGGTCATATCCAGCACTGCCACCCTGCGTTCCACGGGATCAACGCTCGCTCTAATCCGCTAAGGTATCTACTGGAAACATCAAGCCATTTTGACATGTAGATGACTTTGCGATACTCTCTGAATATATAGGGTGACAAATGCTGGGCCCGGATAATAACTGTCTGTGTTAGATATCACAACACATCGGACTTCAGAAAAATGCCTTCATTAAATCGTGTGATGAATGTTGCGTGCATGGTTACAAAACACTAGAGACGATAAAGGGCAGCTCACTGTCACAAGAGAGAAACTTACATGTCTTTGGATGTTAGTCCCGGTTAAATGCATGCCAAATTTATAGTTTAAACCTTTTATCGCACTGCACATTTGGTTTCTCTTTTTCGATTGCTTTTTATGTACAGACACAGTCCCTGTGCCTATATCCATCACTTGTGTCTGGCGTCGCTGCAGTCGTCGCCCTGCACTTTTCACCGGTAACCAACACTTATGGAAAAACTAGTAGGCTAACTTGTTATTCTCAAACTTACTGGAGGGATTTATAGCAATAAAATATAGTCAACCTCGAGTAGCATCTTTATTGGGATTTTTGAAGCAATACACTTTTGGGTGAATTTTCCATTTTTCACACATTAGCATTTTCAATGAAAGACTTTGAAATAGAATGGTTATGAAGTCCCTTTGCTTGTTTCATTTTCAAAACCCGTAATATTTGTGCACTGCCATCACTATTAAAAGACACCGTGTTATTCTTTAAATTACATGAATGATTCTTAGAACTAAAATACAGCTCAAATCGGAAAACCAGTTTCTAATCCATCCTGCATTTTTATTGTTATTATTATTATTATTATTGAAATTACGCAGCTTTAGTTTTTTTTTTTCATTTTTCGCTATTGCATATTGGCATTTTCAGTGAGTGGCTTTGAAATCGCATTGGCCTTATTTTCTTTACATTTTCTGAATGAACACTGTAGGCCTTCATGTTACCTGTAGTACAAAATTAAAAATTGGTGGTGACTATACTCTTGGGTAGTATGTAATTTTGCATCTAATTAACCCTTTTTGTGCACTAGCATCATTTCTTTCTGCTTTCTTTGATACATTTGACAGCTTTGCTGCCTTGGTTTAGGCTTCTATCTGAGATAGCAAAATCACAAGATAAAATTGAATAGTAATACATTTAGATTGACAGCATTCTTTGTCCTCAATCAATGAATCTTTTCAAGGACTCCATTAATGGATCTTGCATATAAGGATAATCTAATTAAGAAATAATATTTTGTATCAATGCCTGTAAACAAACCTCATTATTGAGACGTCATTTTTCATTATCTCTCAGTCTAGTGTTTAAAGGATTTTGTCCGGGCAGCAGCCTGTGCCCACTGGTCCACTTCACGCGTTCCTGTGGCTCAGTGAAGTTTGACTCTCACTGTCAATGGGTGAAAATCTTAATGAACCTGACATTTGAATTACCAGCATTAATCTAGAAAGAACTGTTGCCGCCTAGAAAAACGGCGTGTTTGAATTGGAAGGGTCAGCAGCGAACCCATCCGTTTGCTTCGCTTCTAATTAGCACACAGAAGTAGCCTCTGCCAAGAAAAATATAAGGAACCAATTGCAATCAGTGGTCCATAATTTTTAAGTTTCACGATATATCTATTCTGTAAGTGTTTAAAAATATAGCTGAAATTACCAAACACACCATCATTGTGAAACAGTAAGCAATAACGTTGACCGGAGAGGCTATACATGTCCATAACTGCACGTTTACGTTTATACCATGTTTCTTTTTAACGTAATACAGACACGATGACAGCGTCCACTGTTGTGTAAAAATGTATACATTATTTGTGAAATGCAGCAGAAGTCGTTTTTCGTAGATTATGAAATTAATAATAAAAGAATTTGCGCCCTTAAGTCGGTGTTGTATACTGCTGAAAATGTACTGTTATGTACATGCATAGAATTATGAACAGCATATGGTGCATTCTCTCCCCCTCCCTTCCTCTCTCTCTCTCTCTCTCATAAATATCTTACTCACCAATGCAAAAGAAGAATCCTACTTTAATCCTGGTTCTCTTCTCTTTTATCATGTTTGTGCTCATGCAGTCTATTTTGAAATACATGTATGCCCGTGCCTCAAAAAAATTTCAACAAATCTCCCATCAGTGTTTTTGAACAAGAAGTCCCTCGCAGTAGTATTATGTCTGCAGTCCTCTTGAATCACAGTGTAAACACGGGCGCGAAATGTTCAGTTCTCGTTTCTTGTCGGTCTTGTTTGCCGAATTAATCGACTGTCAAGTTTGGAATGCAGTTTTGTAGGATACCCTGCCATATTAACTGATCCGGACACGTAGCGTTCAACAAGACCTTTGGGCAACTGAGATAGGAAGCTGCCAATTACTTAGAAACAACTTTAACTCCGAGAAAATACCAGCCAAGATCTTAAAATACCCATGGAGATATTTATCTGACCGTTTCTAATGACGTCACGCAAGGGTCGTTCGGTTGCATGTCAACCCGCAGGGTCATGGAGAATAAATTTTACAGATTAGAAGTACGTAGAGAGTAAAAGTCGGGTCTAAATACCAAATTTGGTTGTACGATGTAAGTTAGATAAATGCTAATCTAAAATAAATGTTGCAATTACTTTTTCTCGTTTAGATCACAAATAAAGAAGCATTGCTTATATTCAGTAAGGGCTCTGTATACGTAGTTAGTTTTAAAAAATTACAAATGCGAGCGAGACGTTGCGTTTAGTGTATGTTCAGTGTATGCTTTATAACTGTTGCAGGTGACTTGTGGTTATTAAATATTAGTATTTCAATTGCCATTTCATTCGAACCAGCAATTTCAAAGTGGGTTCTTTTTCTGAAAAAGTGGACATTTTCACCGCTTAGTTGGGCCAATTTGCAAAATGTCATAGAAACTAAATCACATTTTGATTAAGAAAGAACATTTTCAGGACAAAAGGGCTTTTCCTTCTTACCACCTGATCCCTCTCTACCTACCGACCTAGCTTGTCTATTATTACTGCTTTACATTGCTGGTCAGTATTTTGAACTTGACACAACTCAACCGGGCTAGTATACCCGCTGGATAAAGCGCTACAGGGTTCCGCTGTGTTTGAACTAAGTGACACCCCGTTGGCGGCGCCTTTTTCTGTGACAGTTTGTATCAATCTTGAACGGTCAGTGGGTCAAACTGGAATTCATGGCAATAAAAAAAACCTGGATCACATTTATATAACCTTGGCTGTGACGCGTTTACAAATATTCGAAATCATCATGTATCAGGCTCTCTTAAGGGTTCTAAAAGGATTATTTGCAATCTTGGCACTGTTTTAGTCTAAAATGACGTTCAAGGATGAGACTTAATTGTTTCTTTTTAATTGAATCAGATCTTCGACTTTCATGAACGGCATCCAATGTCTTATTCTATTCATTTATGCAAGACATCAGTTTTTTCCTAAAATCAATTTTGGGCTAAACAGCATGGAAAATGCTCTTCATTCTGCGCCTAAATCAAATAAAAAAGATTGCACAGGAAATGCAAGAAAGTTATTAAAACATGACACGCAAATCGGATCAATCTCAACAGACAACTTGCCTTTGAAGGAACATTAATTATCTACTTCGTGTAAATTTGTTGCAGTTGGTAGGCTCCTTAATCATGTTTTGGACAGAATCTCGTATTAACAGTTATTTGAAAAATCAACTTTAGTCGTTTGAAAGAAGGTCCCGAATGCAAAGAATTTATTGATTTCATTAGTGGTTGACTGATACCATTTTGTTGTCTCAATTCCAAAAAGTTGGGTTTTATAATCTGTTTAATCATTAGTGTTATGTACCCTACAGACATGCATGTACGATCTCTTTTAGCTTATGGATGAAAAAATAGACGCAATCGCTTAAGCATATATGCCCTGGTACGACTGAACACAACTTCGATCGACGTCAAAAATGTCATTTCTTAATTAACCGTACAACGTTGGGTGGGGGTAGGGGGTGCAGAGGAGCTAATGGCGGCAGGGCGTCGACGCAAGTTTTAACAGCTGACAGCAAGGCAATAATTCGGCTGAATCATTCAGTTATCCGCAACGTGAAAAGTGTCACAAGGGGCAAATTTTCCAATTAAGGACGGCAAGTTATTTTTCAGGGTGAAAAACTGATTTATAGCTTCTTTCCAACCCAATACATTTTGGATGGCCTTTACGCTTTCATATTGGCTTGGAAGGTCCCAATGTTATCCGTATTTGGGACCCGTGGGTAAGTTTTGGCAGTTGTTTTTTTAATGCATTTACTAATAACGCGATGCCATTTCTTGTGATAATTTTCTTTGCGTTTTTCTTCTGATAGCCTAGATTCCGATAGCCCAACAGCTTTGCCTGTTAACGAACTGCCATAACGCAATTGGGAAAACTGTCTCAACAAAAGCAATTTCTCAAATGGCTTGGTCGACAAACCCCCATACCATTGCTTAAGAAAACAGAATTTTAAGGAAAACACCCTTTTTGTGTTCCCTCTAAATGCTAAATTATTCCATTATTCCATTTTTAAAGCAAGGGCATTTTGTTCAGGTTATCTGGCAGTTGGTAAAATGGGACAATTAACATAAATACTTGAGAATTTATAGCATGTACATAATGGCAACAAAACTGAAAAAATAACTGAAAACAAGATGGAAGGTATTAGAATGATATACAAATTGTTACTTACAAATACTTTTATGTAATGCAGTATAGTTCACCTTTATTACATTTTGATTGGGTTTTAAGACCATCTTCAAAATATGTCCCATGGCCATTAAGAGAAATAAGCGAGACCATTATGTTACAAAATAATTATTTAAAAAAAGACCACTCAAAGCTAAACAAAAAGGATATGGCAGTTAATTTTATTTGCACATATATCTGTATGCACAACTCTAAATAGATAACCATTCCCATCACATGACATACATACTGCACATAATGTTGGTCCAGTGGATAATCTCACACAGAAGAAAGACAGTTACTGAGCTTGTAACAGCTCCATGGAATCTTTTATATTACACATATTCTTCTGACCAGACTTATAAGTTATTTTACCTTGAAGAATTCTATTTCTCTTAAACTGAATGAATTATTCCACAGAGAATGTGTAAAACCACAACTATAAGAAACAAGAATTGAAATATCCACATCATGATTTTTCTGTTAGAAATTGCAATTATTTTTTTGTCCCAACAACTGTTCATAAATTACATTTGTAAGAACTAGTAGAAACGAATGCCTTGTGACATTATTTTAGTATTAGCCTAGCCATATCTAGCTTTGCATGCTTGTAGCATATAGAAGTAACAAAAAAGATATAAAAATCCTTGAATTTTGCAATATCAGCTAAATTAGTACATTATGTTTCTCTCAAAATTTAATACAAAACATATTCATAAGCCAAGCAAAATACTCTTCTTAAAATCATTAAGTTCATGATTTCAAAAGATTGCGTTTTTGAGAGAAAAAAGTGACACCAGTAAAAAAAAAATGTTCTTTTCTTTCCAGAATTTCACCTCATGTACATCTTTGACATCAGCTACAAGAACTTTCACCAAACTTAACCAGGAATTTCCTACATAAAGTTCCGCTTCACTTCCAAAACTTAAAGTTTACTTGGAACCTTAACCAGTTCTCAGAATGATATGCACACCCGAGTCAGTCCAGACAGGCTCACTGAGCTCACCAACTTTCAAACTAAATCCAGCCTCCTCGAACGGCTTTTGCATCTGCCCACGGCCAAACAGTCCCAAGTCTCCCCCTTTCTTTGCTGAGCTGCAGTCACTGAACTGACTGGCTAGCTGCTCAAAGCTGGCTTCCCCAGATACGATTTTGTCCCTGTAACCTTGGATTAAAATAAAAATTTCATATGAAAACAAATTTTAAGTCAAATTAATGTACTAGTAACAAAAATGTCCTTTTAGATGACCATTAAGAACAGCATACCATTGTTATACTGTGCAATTCACTCATATCACTGGTCACTGTTTTGGGCAAGGTAATAATGGGACTTATTTTCTAAAATCATCGAAAAACTTGACATATTTCTTTACAATGTGTTTACAAGTATCATCCAGTAAAACCCTCACCAAGATGCCCTTGTGTTTTAAATGTGTAACTACCTACCCTTCAGTATGTCCAGTGCCTCATCCTTGGTTCTGGTGATGTTATCTTCTCTCCAAGATGATGGTCTCCTGGACTGTCTGTGCTTGACTAGAAGATGAGAGCAGCGTACTTGATCCATGCCCTTTTCTGCTGGCCTTGTGGGCTTTTCCCAAATACTCTCTTTGGTATGGACGTTTAGGTAGTATGTACGACCTTTAATAAAAGTGATTTTGGAAACGTGAAATACATGCTGTAAGACATATTTTCATTTCAGTATTTTAGTATAGTTAGGTATATCACAATCGGACAGGGGCGCTACAGTAGTAACTATCCAGGGGCAGTGAAGTGTAAAACTGATATCGGCCTGCTGACAGCTCGCCTATGGCACCCCTTTTAGCCTCTCTTTTAGCGCCGCGTAAAAAAACTAATACAAGCCATTAACTTAATAAGCTGTAAATCAAAGTGTAAAATCCGGTCACATGATTTTCCCATGTTGCAGTCTTTAAGAAGTTTCAGTTCAGGGCGTTTGAAGTTTTGTCTCGACAAAATGCTCAAAAATGTCAGTTAAGTACTGATTGGAATTTTTTGAAATTTATAGTGAATAAAGTTTATGAAATTTGCAATATTATGTGGAAAAATCATGAAAATTGAACCATGCAAAGTATAGTTTATTTGATGCGCAATATTTACAGTACATGATCTGCACGGAAGCCATCCCAGCCGTATGCTTGTGCCGTCGCCAATTTGGGTTTGTTTCCGGGCCATTAGATTAAAATACAGTCCTAATTGCCCTAATTGGTCACAAACAATTTGAGCTGCAGCGACAGCTGAGTGAACACCGCTGGTCAGTAGTGACAGGTTTTTAGCTGAAGAGAGTGGACACTTTTGGTGAATTTTTGCAGTTAAAAAACTTCAATGTCTTTGTTGCTTGTAGGAATATTTAAAAAATTCCAAATGTACCTAGTATAGTACTAGTATGTGTTAACTTAAACATTACAATCAGGGTGGTAGAACGAAACAAAAGGACAAGATAAATCCGGGAGTATTATGTCACCTAGCTGTCTCACATCCCTCACTTACAATAAGATTTGCTGCAATATTGCAAATGTTTTATTTATTGATTCAGTTCATATTTCACTTTGACAATGACATTGTCAATAAATCCGCTTGGCGACAGTGGAATAATTTAGGTCATTGGACAGCACGGAAGTGAAAATACCATGAAATCATCTATCATTCCTAACCAGAATATTTTTTGTTTCTTTCGTCTAAATTAAAAGCTTCTTTACCTGTAGATCGGCTCGTTTTAGCTTCCCAACCAGCAGGCAAACTTTCCGCCATTTGCAAGCATGCGTACAGGAAGTAGAACTAAATAGAAGGCGCTCGTTGATTGGATTAATGTAATTGCCATTATCTTTGACAAAATATTTTCTATATTTACATTTTAGGTGTCAGTCGACGATCTGCTACCTTCCTTGTTTGGCAATTCCATTCAAATTCGTCTTTTTATTATAAATAAGCTTATAAAATGACAACTTCCCCGGTTTATTTGATCAGGGAAATTCCTTAACTGAGATCCAATGGGATTCCTCCTTACTTTTCATCAAAGGAAGTTTTAATCGTGTTAAGAAACAAGACGGTCTTCGTAAAGAGAAGAGGACAGATCCACCCTCCACAGAGAAATATTTTGAGGATTAACACGAAGATAAAGTTATACTAAAACAAAGTGAGTAGAGTGAATGGCTCTTTGGCTTAAGATATTATTGCTTAGTAGATTGCTGTCAGTAAACGATAAACACAAACCCAGTTATCCTTCCCTCCTAGATTGACAGGTGAGTCATTTCACCTGTCTGCGTGTGTCGTCCCCTCTCTCAGTGTCTGTCCTCTAGGCAGTAGTGTAAACTCCCAGGATTCAAATAATATGAAGCAGGTTGCAGTTGTTCTCAAGAGAATTAGCGAATGACCAGTGGTTAACGACTTGTGAATATCAAATTGACGAAAAAAAAAAATCCCGAGATTTTTTTCAAGCGACACAATATTTAACTTAAGAGAGATGTAACGTTGCAAATGTTCCAAGTCTTAGTAATAAAATCAGTCTGTCTTTGATGCAAATAATGTATTTTCAGGTGTGATAATTCTGATATCAGTTGCAATTTTATTTTAGTATTGATGCTCTTCAAGATCATAATAATTTTACCAAGGTGAAAAAAAGACATCACTACACAGCATCAGCTCACAAGAATTAATTAGCCCCACAAGTCCCTTTAGTGTATCGTGCATTTGATGCAGTTACAATAGCCAAGTAGGCTGTAGAGTAAGGCAGCTTTTGTTTTCAAATTATTTAAGGATGACCTGAGAGAAAGATTTCTTTTGAAGTTATCACAAGCCTCCCATTAAGCTGCTGGAGGAACTGCCATTTTAAAATTTGTCAGTGAAAATGAACAAGGTGTTTTGTGTAAAGATTCTTGTGCACAAATGTAGATTCAGAATGAAGTTTAAAAAATCTCGTGTTTGCCTGTACCAATTCACTTCGACGTGCACTAACAAAGAAAAAATATACAAATACCAATAAACAAATTCTGACATACCAGTATGAGGAATGAGGTTACCAGATGGTGTTGTGCACATTTTATTAACTGATTGATAATTTTAAGATGAAAGAATAATAATAAAACCTCTGAGAAACTTAAAGTTAAATTTGAAAATAAATAGATATTAGAACCTTTAAAAGAAACCTCTGAATGATAGGTTTACATTATATGCCTAAATATTTTAATTTGTGTTGACTCACTCACTTCTCCATCTTGTACCTCAGTGGTTTATGTAGATATGACAGATAAGAGATAAACAAGGTAGCAATTAGTCCAGTGTTCCTTTCATACCTTCCTGGCTTACAAGAAAGATTAATTGATTATATCTTCAAATCTGAACAATTACTAGTAAGTGCATTGATTCTACATCAGTGAATTGTCAAACAAAAGCACAACAGTTTGGACAAGAATAATGGAAGCAAAATTTAAGTTTGATGTCCAGATCTTATCTCTTTTTTATTGATTGGAACCCACGTTCAGCATGTAGGACAACATTCTAGTAACAAGACTGATTTGAATTATCTCTATCACCAGAAATAAAGGTAAAACTTTGTTTTTGAATGTAGAAACACATGACTGCCTCAGTCACTGTTGGACTATCTATAGCTTGTAATTTGTGCATGTTGTTACCATGCATACTTAATTTGGGACTTGTTTTTGCAGTTCAGATGTTGAACTTCGTATTTGTGCAATAACCAACAGAGCTTAGGTTAATATGCCCCGGTACACACACTAAATACCTGACTAAATATGTGATATAAGATGATCACTGTGAGTGATTATTTTCATTTTAACTTGAAGGTGTTTTAATAATCGGATCTTGTTTAAATTAGGCTTGTTCTGCATAAACGGATATTTTTTATCATAAAGATATATTGTACTGCAACTGAACAAGTGATACTGCCATTGTACTGGTATGTTATAACCAGGTTTGACAATTGTTTCTTTGATATCATGGATATAGCCTTTTATAAAGACCTCACTCCCTCTTTGTTTTGTATCAGTCACAATGGGTTGATAAATAGTATGGCATCAGTGATAAATGTGAACATTTTAATCAATTCATTGTCTTGCTTAATAATTAAGACTAGTGTCCCCCTCCCAGTTGTCATTTTCATCTACAACATAACTAAAATTTGATGGAGGATTTACTTTTTGAGTTAATTAATGAAGGAAAACAGGTTGGTCAGTGTTAGATGTGACCAACTGTATTCTGTGCCATATATTGTCATGTCAAGCACATGCTTTAACTCTTTGACCTTGGTACTTCACCAAGTGATCCATGTCTGAGATGTAGACAACATATCACCATTGTTATCAGTTGAAGTGGGACTGAAGCTGCAGCAAAACAGCAGGCAGATGGAGGTTATAAAAATGGGGAGGGACTTAGGCAGAAATAGAGCTAATATAAGAAATTGGTTTTGAATGAGTACTAGTACCCAGAAATGTCTACACAGTGAAACAAAATAAGGGAGTGAGAAAAGCAAGCTGTGGTATTAATTAATAAGAAGATATTAATATAAAATGGTCTTGATGTTAAATGTAAGTGGATTTTATAGCACATTGATATAATTAAAAGCAGGACCCTCAATTTTAAGCAGTTTCATACAAAATGTAAACTGCATGCTATTTCTTTGATGTATGACTAGAAAGCGCAGGTGTCACAAAAGTAATAAAATCAACTTGACAGGTACTATTAGACCTGAACCCTGGGGTGTTCATGAAAGTGCAATTTTTATTCTCTCTTTAAGCAATTTTGCCACCTGAGGTTTAATTTTCTCCAGTGCAAGTATGATATTTTTACAGTTACAGAGAATATTAGCCTCAATATATTACATGACGTGGGAATATTCAGGGCGTTTCTGAAAAACACCTCACCCCTTTGTTCCAACTCGGTGAGTTCAGTATCTAGAATCACTGTAGGAGGAGAAAGAATGACTGCTTCCATTAAAGCTAAAAATAAACCTTTTTTTGAGGATGTATTTATAAAATTCAATTTCACGGTGCTAACTCATAGTTTTGAAATTGATAGCATACATAGAAATAAAGTTAATAGGAACTGTATCCATGCTGTAGTATATGTGCTGGTTTTCAACATTCATTAAGAAAATTACAGATCTTTCTCCATGTAGGTCTATTATCCTGAATGTGAGTTACTAGCCTCTAAGACTGAAGGTTGACTGTTTGAACTGTCAGAGAAGTTTTGACTTATAACTCGATGAAGTATATGTACCCGGGGTATATGGGATATGCTACTTTCTTTGAAGTATGTAATATTGCATGTTTACCTACAATTAGCTGTCCTTCAGTTATTATCTATCTCCTGCTGCCCTAAGCTAGAGAGACTTTCGTAAGAGCTGTGGCATATTGGCAATTAAAAGCATCTTTTTCCTGAAAGTGAGTGTCATATATCTCTGCATACCACCTTATTGCCATGGGGTGCTTTTGTTTCCTGTATTCAGTAATATACTGAAATAATAGAAAGTCGTCAGGGGTCCCAGTGTGTGTACTGTAGGTGGGTGGGGGAGGGGGGGGGAGGCTGCTACTCCATATAATAGAGCCTGACCTTCCCTTTACTGCCCCACTAAAAATTTATTATACTTTTGGTGTATGTCAGTTTTTATGTGTCTGGATTGCTTTTATGGTTGAAATTGGAGAGACATGATTGAACTTCCTGTATGTTACATTGAATGATAACACTGCAATGTACCTTATTTGATGATGTTTTGAGTTTTGATGAAATCCCATTGTTATTTGTCAGTAACACCTCCACAAAGGATTACATTCTTGATGGATCATATTACTGATGTGAATTCACTTTCATTTATGAAATGAGATTCTGGTCTGTATTATAAGAGAGACATTGAGATGTCTGAGTTTGGGGATATCTGGTGAGATAAATTGGTATTGATAATGAAGTCCATAGAAAGGTTTGATAATACGGCAGTGTGATGTTGTTTTCTTTTTTTAATAAACATTGATAAGGTTTCAAGCTCTTGCTACTCTGTATACATGTGCTTTTTTTTCTGCCAAATGCTATACGCATCCATTTACATTGCCTCATGTATTGTGAAATATAGCTAATATCCTATCTCATTTGCCACTTCATCAGTGATCCAGTAGAAGAATTGCTTATTAAATAATGACAAGGATGAAGTCTAAATTACATTAATATTTCCTTAAAATTAGTAATTTCTTTATGATTAACAACTCAGATATGAGATATATGTCAGGTCGGTTGTTTTTGCACTCTATTTGGGATATTGATTGATTTTTGATGAATTGTTAATTAAGTATTGGATGTGCCAGGAATAAAAGCTGAGAAAATTTAATGTCCTATATATGCAGTAAATAGTGTTGTCTCCTTGCTTGGACTAGCTGCCAGATTGATGCTGAGATAGATTTTGGTTTTATCAAGTAGATGTCCTCAAAACAGCGATACACTTGTGAATAATGAAATTATGTGTAGGATTTTGTAAAACTAGATTAACTTGAATTTTTCTTTTATCAGAAAACCAGTCAGTCTAGGCAGAGCCTACAGAGATAAAGCTGTATGCCTACAGATATTATCTGTTAAGGAGGGTTTGGTCAATGCTAGGTTATGTCTGCTTATTCCTCTTTATGCTATATATTTCACTCTTCTCAAAACAGTGATAAAATGTCAGAAAAATGAAACTAATTTTCATCTAAACAGGTTGTTGAGGGCTTACTAGTACACACTGACCATGGCTTGAATATGCCATTATGATACGGATAGTATTGTGATGTTTGGGCTATTTTTATAAAACAAATGACTGAATTTATTGATCAGTACAGAGATATATACCAGATACCTTAAACTACATGTATCTGTTGTTTGATCAAAGATTGTACAGCTTCTTAACCTGTGAATTTATGTTTTGTTATAAAGACATTTTAAAAGTCACATTGGATGTTGTAAAGGCCTAACAGAAATGGTTTATCTACGTATATGAACATATCAAGTTTTAATCACAGGAAACATGGCTCCATCTGTTGTCAAACACAATGTCCCTGTCCTGTTTTTTACCTCTCATTATTGAATGTAACTTTATTAGCGAATGAGTGCTGTACATATATATTAGCAAAAGAGGAAACTTATGATGCCATTATTATA